GCGTCAGCTACGACGATGTGCTCGGCCGGGAAGTGTAGAGAGATTAAGTGTGAGATTTTCTTTTATATAGTCATGCACCTTTTTTCCTGTTAACCAACAACAAATTAGACAAATTAGACATATACGCTCAAATATACAAATATAACTTACTTTTTTCGTTGAACTTTGAATACAAAATAATTGATCTGCGTTTATATAGGTCACATACAAGGCGGATATTACCCGGCCTTGCAAGGTCAATGTTTCCATCTATACCTCTTAAGGGAATTTTAAATATATTTTCCTGTCAAGATACAAAATGATTATGAGAAAATATAAGTGTTTATATTTTGTATTCAATATTTATTTAAATATTTGCATTTACTTTTTACTTGCATTTAGTTCATTTTACGTTTTTTTCTTCTTGTTTTATTTATTTATATTGTTTTTGTAGCTGTTATTAAGTTGCATATACATAAATATTACTAATTCATGTCTAATGTTATATTTGTTGTTGCTGTTGCTGCTCTTATTGGTTCATTAGGGCTAATCTGCTAAGGTCAAATCGAGAACTTAGGAACTAAATGAATACTTAACGCAGACAGCATAACCCCAGCAGGAAAATAATGGGAAATCAAAAACAAAAGAAAAAAAAAGCAAGTTAAGCGAAAATAATCAAATTAAAAATTATTTACGACATTTTTAAATAGTGTAAATGCAACGCAATAAATTAGTTGAGAGCTAAATCTGATTTAAAAAAATTTATTTGAAATTAATTATGCATATATAGTTAATCATTTTTTCCATGAATTGTTCAAGGCTCAGCTGGATTAAATTCGTTGAAACAACGCTAGACGTGAAGGGGAAGTAGCAGGTGATTTTCTCAATAGGAATTGCCAAAGTAAATACATATATTAGTTGATATATTGTTGAGAAAAATAAAGGATCCAAACCTAATCAACGAAGTGACTAAATTACAATGTGTGCTTAAGACTAATTAGAATTATAACAATTAAAACTGATTTATACAAGGCGAGCATGCATTTTACATATATGCACATATATGGACGCCTGCCGCCACTGAAGTAGGGTACGTCCGAGATGACGAGGCGACACGGCACACGGCTGTGCCTGGCCAGAAACAAATGATAAATCCTAGACATGGATTTTGATTCCGTCGCTGCCACTTAAACAATTATTAAGTCTTCTGCTGTGTAAAATTGTTATAAAAACTATGCCGGCGGCTGTCGCTTCAGTTGCTGCTGCTTGACAATGACTCGGCTACGCTGGCGCTGGCAGCCAGCGGCTGGCGAGACTGCGGCGTTGTGGACACGGCCAACATTTGTTTGTGCCGCTGCTGCTGCTGCTGGTGCTGCTCCACAACGGCCACAATGGGCGTCGGATTGATGAGCGGCGGCGGCAGCTCCTCGAACGTCATGCAGCTACGCTGCGTCTCCTCCACAATGGGCGGCGTGTCAATCGAATCGATGGTGCTGGTGGGGTTTGTGGCGCCGCTGCTGCTACTATTGCCACTGCTGCTGCTGCTGCTGCTGTTGCGCACGGAGGTATAGCTCTCGGAGACGGCCACCAAAGCGACGGTGGTATTACGATTGTGCTGCAATAGATCGTTGATCTGCGAGATGCGCGACGAACTGCCAATGGGCGCATTCAGGCTAATAAAGTCGACCGGGCCATTGCCGCTGCTAAGCCGTGCCAGGCCCGTGGCGCAGCTGCTAGCCGTTATGGATATGCTGCTGCTGCTGGTATTCAGGGATGCGGCGGTAGTTTCTAACGCATTCGCGTGCTGATATTGCGTAGCATTCGAGGCGGTGGTGGTGGCATTGCCAAACGGCGGCACAGACGGCACCGCACACGAGCTGTACGCACCGGCCGACACAATGCCGCCGGATGAAGTGGTCGTCTGTTGATAGGCGTTGTAGGGATTTAGCTGCAAAGACAAGCAAAGAACACAAATTTAATAAAGTCCAATCATTCTCTAGACATGGGGAGCTGATGTCTGATGGGTTTATTCTATTTAGCGATTCGAGTGGAACCTTAAACCTGGAGGAAGATCAACAGATTCGAGTCAACAAGTTGTACTAAGGGTCTGAAAGCCCACTGTATATCAATTTCGATGAATGCAAATCAATTTTATGATCAAGAGTAATAAGAAAATGCCTTATGCAGTTCGAGACATGGGTATCAATCTTGAAGAGCAGCAAACGTGGCTGTAGAATTGGGGAAACTGAGCTTCATCAAAGGCAGCTTGCATATATTGGGCGCTTAAAGTAAGCAAGCATTTACAAAAGACGAGGGCATCCCTGCAGTTATTCTGATTAGCTTTCTCAGACCTTCGCCTTTGAATTAAATAAAAGGCACATTTCTTTTAAGGGCAAAGATAGGTTTTTTTTTCTAAAGGTTTTTAAATTTGAGGCACCTCAATTCCGGTCTACACTCACCTGGGAGCTACCATAGCTGAGAGTCTGATGATAGGTGGGCGTTAGCAGCTCGCCGTACGAGGGCGTGGCATTGCTACCGCTGGCAAAGAGGCCCGAATCGAGGCTGTCCAGCTGCGGATAGCTGGCGGCATAGCTGGACTGCTGTGCCGTGCCACTGTTCGAGCCAGGGGCAGCAGTCGACTGTGGAGTCTGTTGCTGCTGGTAGTAGCTGACGCTCGTCTCGGGCGTGTACGCTGGCGAGGCATAGCCGGAGCTGTAGTTGGACTGCGGCTGCATGAAGAAGCAGTGTGAGGCGGCGGCGGCAGCGGCAACAGCAGCGACGCCAGGGCTGCTGCTGCCAGAGGCGCTGCTGCCATAGACCAAGCCGTTGCCGCTATTCGCATTCGGCGGTCCCTGGCTCTGGCGCTGCTCCATGTCCAGCCGCATGACGGTGTGTATGTAATGGGTACGTACGCGCGTCGGATTGAACTCGACGCGGCCGACAGTGTTGCCGCAGGCTTCGCGCGTGCAGCCGCAGGGGAACATGGCGCGATCTACTTGGCACTTGATGCCCGCCTGGCTGCAGGCGCACGTCTCTGGGTCGCAGAACTCGCGACACGAGCAGCCGCACACCTCGCGGGAATTGCGTATGTCCCGGCAATCGATCTTCTCGCTGGCATCGATCTTACGCACACCGGCGGCTTTCAGCAGGGCACGCCGCTGCTTGGGTGTCACCGGCTGCAGGAAGCCATTGGAGCCATCATCGGCATCGGAGCCGCTGCCCTCGCTTAGGTAATCCTCTTCGGATTCTTCGCTGTCATCGCTGCTGGAGCCACGCACTTGCAGCTGTTGCTGCTCCTGATTTTGGTTGCGATGCGCTCGCCTCAGCTCTGCCGCATGCTCGGCCAGCGTCATGGTCTTGAAGGCAATGTGCCTGGCGCCCATGCCCAGCGTACAGCCGCCAGCGGTAGGCACACAGCTGAAGCCCTGCTGCCTGGGGAAGTAGTAGACCTTAACGCTGTCAAAGTTAATGCAACGCTTCGATCGTTTCTGTGTGCTGGAACAGCAACTGACACCGCTGCTCATGTCGGGCCCCAGTGCCAACTCCATGGCATCATCATCCAGGCGCCGCTTCAGATTCGAGCGCAGCGGCTTCGGCACACTCGTGGTTGTTGCTGTTGTTCCTATGGTGTTGTGTCTATCGTTTTCACTGCCCAATCCTGAATCGGAGCCACCGTCGCTACGCAGCTCCTCCTCTTTGGTCTTTGTGGGCGGCTTGACTGCAGCTGCCGCCGAACTACTGCAGCCTGGAGCGGGCACAATGAGGCTTCTACTGCTGCCGGTGGCCTCCGATGCTGACGTGTCCAGTTTGAGCCACAGCAAATCGCCGCTAGACTCGGCCGCTTCCTCTTCCTCCTCGTTGTCCTCCTCGCGTAACAGCGGCTGCGTAAAGTCGTCTATTGCCAGTGGATCCTCCGATACGTTGTCCGAGGCCAGCGATGAATTGAGCTCATTGTCGCTAAGCACAATAATCTCATTGTTAGGAAAATTCTCTAGCTCCAAAAACTGTTCGTCCAGTTCATCGTCATCCTCATCCGCCAGCGTGACCGGCTCGTGCGCAAAGTCCGCCAGCTCATCGTCCAGCTGCAGCTGCAGCGGCAGCACAATTTTCGTCTTGGCCGCATGCACCTTGGATGCATCGATAATCGAGGTTTTTATTTGACGCTCAATGTCATCATCATCGAGCTGCTGGTCCGACGCCTGCTCCAGCGACTGCAGCTGCTGCTCCAGCACCAGCTCCTTCGGCGGTTCCGACCTTGCGCCGCCGCCGCTGGCGCTGACGCCTTCAATGGCGCCGTTTACGCTACTCGTGTTGCCAAACATTGTCCCATTGCTGGCATTTTTCTGTATGTACGTGAATATCTTTTTGATCGGACGGAACATGCTTTTCATGGCCGCCCGCAGAGGCTCACCCAGCTGCAGCTCAGTTCTTGAGCCTGATAGTCAAAAGCGGCTGCTGCGTTTGTTCCATCTGCACAGAAAAAACACAGAGAATAAGCTTGTGTACATTTTTAAGAATTCTATGCACAATACTGTTTGAATATAAATTAAAAAATTTGTTGTAAACGCGATTATTCAATTTAAAGATCTATTTCTGTTTCTATCTAAACTAATCTGAGGTTTTGCGTAGATCAGAAAATAAACAAATATATCATAAACCTAACTAACTTTGTGTAGAAAACACAACTATAAAATGAATACAGAGATTGAAATAATCAAAAACTCAGGAGTCATATTAGAAATAGGACAATTTCCATTTCAAATATGTATATAAATGGGACTACAATATCCGTTGCTCCGTTAACTACATACAAAATTAATTTCCCGGAAAATTTAAGAGTTCGGAAATTCGGTCAGTCCGTGTCAACAGTTTTCATCCACGTGCAATGACAATCCCAGTCTAAATAATTGTTTTACAATCGAGAACGGATCAACAAAAGAGGCTCTCGCTGCGTTTCCTCTTGTCCGACTTTGTATGTCGTAGGTGGAATTTGGTGCGGGAAAATTCCGGTGCAGGTGCGTGTGTATGCGAAGGGCACGCCTAGGCCGCCACGTGCAAGCGTAGCCAGGATTTGTGTGCAGTTTCGAAAATGCAATTTTACCTAGATGTGCGCCAGCCTGCACATCTGTGTATATGCAACAGCTTGTGGCAAATGTGATTAAACGAAATTGTAGGTGAGGAAAAAACCGAGCAACAGTAATAACGATTTAAGCTTAAGCAAAATCAATAATTTGCGCACCTTTTATCCGATTATTCAGCGCAGTGCGCTTTGATTACGCTTTTCCGGGACACTTGATGCAAATTTGCAAACTCCTTTTTCGAATTTGCGTTGCAGCTGTGAAAACTGCGACGGAACGGAGCGACCGCAGTGTATGTGTGTGTGTGTGCGCGAGTGCGAGTGTGTTTGTGTGTACGAGCAAAGGAGGCGCAGCGCATAGATCACAAATGTTAATGGCTGTGTGTGTGTGTGTGTGTGTGTGTGCGTGTGCTGAGGTGTTCGCAACAGGATGCGGTTAATGTCTGTTAAGTGCAAAAGTCACTATTATTGAGTCTGCACGGTAATTGGGCCGAATATCAGCCGTAAAGCTTTAATTATTTAATCAAATCCTGCGTTTTTAGAATCTCGATTGACGTTTTCACTTCTCCTCTCGCAATGTTATTACCATTTACTGCCATTCACAAAATACTCAATATTATAATGTGACCAAATAAGCCAAAATACCAAAAATACCTATTTAAGCACAAATCTTGCGAGCAATGACGTAGTTGGTCAAAGATGGCATAAAACCAAATAGCACTGATTGATTGGACGCCACGTAAAGTCAGAGGATAGTCGGTTAGATTAAAGAAGGTAAGAATAGAAAACATAGATCACATGATATTCATAAAAAATGTCACTTTAAGCTAGTATGTAAGGTTGAGATCAAGGAGAAGAGGGCTTGGCCGACTACATATAATAATAATTGTTGTAGAGTTGATTTTTGATGTATATAATTTTATTGCTGGTATATAATGCATCCACTAACTGTGAGTTAAAGTTCCACTTAATTCGTAATGCAACACTAAACGATTCTCCGCCGATAGTCGACCCCGATTCAATTAATCGCCGATTATCTAGTGATTTTAAATGTGGATGATCGGTGTACATTACACTTGTTGCAGATGTAATTCAAAACTAAAGCTCGTAAAATACTAGAAATTCAAAAACACCACAAAATTTAAATATTCTGCATCTTGATTATTATGGCGTCCCTCTCACCCGAGATAAACGCGATTATAATATTGTAATTGTAAAACATAAATCAATAATTCTAAAAAAAATATATATATATTTATCTAATAAATATACTCTATGTGAAAAAGCTTTGTCAGATAGAAATAAAATCCTTTAGTTGGCTAGAGACACCCTAGCTACTCCAACGTAAATAAATAATAAGTGTATATTATAAGAAATTTGGTTTACATAGAACAACATATGATTTATAATTAAGTCATGAAATTTGTATTGTACCTTAATAATAAAATTACTCTAACATGCCATCATCGTTAGATAAAGTAGCTGGTTTAATGTTATTGTTATTTTAGCTTTCTCCTTACATAAAAATAAAGCTCAGCGCTTCGGATTTGGTTGACCTTCTTTTAAAAATAATTGTTTTAGAAGTCTGCCAGTAATTGGATCATTGCGCATAGCACCTAGTGTACTCTGTTTCGTCGAGCGGGAGAGTCCAAGGTCTCGGGCCCAACCGAATATATTTCCGCTATAACACTTAGTATCGGATTATTGGTATTATATATAAAAGTACCTCCTCGAAAGCAAAAGTTTTCGCTTGGCTAGAGGTATCACTGATTCGATAATTTTTTTTTACAATAATCGATTCGTATACATAGGAATTTCCGGCAATGAAACATCGAGTAAGCATTGGCCACATCGCTGCAAACAACACCGATTGTCCGATGTTTTCTTACATCACTAAAAAAATTGTAAGTGGATTCAAGTTCAGCAATTATCAAGGCAATATTTGCAAAAAAACAGAGTGGTAAAAGCAATAATATTTGTGGACTGCATTCAAAAACAAAGCAGCAACTGAAATACTGCAAGTCACATCTGAGAATTCATGCAACGCCTCAAAATTAACAAAAACAAGACCTGAAATTGCTGAGAGTCGTGGGGACAGAGTCAGTCGCTGTCTATCTCTGTCTGCGTGCGTTTGTTTCCAAGTTCCCGTGGCTGTGCCTACGTTCAAAAACGCAAATAAGAAATCGTAAATCACAGACAAATACAAACAAAGAGTGAGTGGCAGCAGAAAAGTGTGCAAAAAATTACAGCTACAATTAAAGTGCGTAACAATAAGAGAGAACAGACAAGTGCATGCAAAGGGCGCTGTTGTTTTTCCATTAATTAAGAAAGTTGTGTAAAATTTTTCATGTCCACCATTACAATCGTCATCGATAGCTGGTACTGAGCGGAGAAAAAGAGAGCGCGAGCAGCAATCAATTCGCCCCACAAAACACACACAGAAATACTGCTGCTCAGCGAGCATGAGTAAGCGAGCGCGATAGCTGGCCCTGAAATTGGGTGCGTTGCATGCGAAAGCGTGTGTCAAAGCAAGATAGCACGAGTTGTGTCGGTGCTTAACTGCAGCGCACAGTGGCACGAATAGCGCAATAAATGTGCGCGCTTGTTTTGCATGATAACCAAAGGGCAATATAGCTGTGAATAATACAATTACAGGTGCGCGACAGTGAGAGGCCTAGACTGGTAATCAGTAATCGGCAAAGCCTTATTGCTATTAGCCAGTTTACCTTATTCTTTGTTCTTTCGCTTTTTGCGTCTTTAAATATGGAGCTCTTTCTGCGATTGTGCATGTGTGTGTGTGTCTGCGGATTTATCTACAATCGTCGCTTATCGTTATGCCAGCCTCAACGCCCCTGCTTCATGACGCCTTCCTCGAAAGCCTCAACCATGCCAAGAGCAAAAGTCTGAAGCCTGTTTAATGTAAACAAAATCGCTATTTATTGTTTTCTTTGTTTATGTATCCGCCTTTTTATGCGCTCTCATTAAAGCTGACGCTGTGGAAATTCGACAAAAATCTGTCGACAGTTTGAGACAAACTCACTAGTGAGAGCATTTTGTAATTTTTTGTACATTTTCCGGTGCTCTAAACAAATAATTACGCATAGCTGTTTTGTGTTACACTTGTTGACTTTTGCTTAGACTAGGCTTGTTTTTGCAATCGGTGCGTTCTAGTCGTTAGGAGTTGGCAATAATAAGAGGAATATTTGAACATAGTTTTGAATAACAGCATAAATGCGTTTTGCTTGATACACGAACTGCCTAAAACCGATCTCAAAATAATAATGATTGTGCTGTTTTTAAGTAAATGTCTCTGGTTTTATTGTGTGCGATAGTATGGCTCTCTCCCACCCTTTGCCACTGGTTCTCTCTTTGCATTGTGTGTGTGTGTGTGTGCTTGTGTGTGTGTCAGTTGTTCGGTTTTCTGTGTGAATGACGCATCGTCAGCTGTTCGAGTGTTGCCTACGGTAATTTCCTGACTAGTCGCTGTACCGTTGTTTTATATTTTATTGAATTTTCCTCGAAGGGGTCGCGCGCTGCCATTGTTTTCCGCTCGTTTGCGGATGTCAATGTATTGGCTTTATTTTGTGTGTGGTACGATCGAAACTAAATCTTAAAGTGTAGAATATTGCATGTTGTTGAAATTGCTTTGAATAGTATTTTGACTCCAGCTGCTGGAATTCCCGCTCGTATTTGCTAAAACATTTATCAATATTGTTCATTTAATTTACAATATTTGCCCATTTAAGTCATGTGATCTTTTGATTAATTTAAATCTAAAGCAATTTTGCAGCTGTGTGAGACAAAAACGACTCGTATAATGTGCCTGTATTACAATTGTGATAAAATGCAACGAAGTTATAACAAAGTGAAATTTTTTTTACTTTGTGCCAACCGCGAGAGAGAGAGAGAGAGGGAGAGCAAAAAATAACGACACTCACGTTCATGCATTTGACATAAGTTTGTGTGTGTAAGTCGTGCTTGACAACTTATTTCTTCTCTCTGTGTATGTGCATGTGTGTGTGTGTGTGTGTGTGTGTGCACTTTGCTCCAAAGCGCCAAAACCTCAAATGGCGTACAATAGAAAACGCAAAATGTTAATGCAGCAGTTTTTTTCTACAGCGATTTCTGTCGACGTCGTTGATGTCGCCTGCATAGTTGCAAAGTTGCTTTGACTCTGGAGGGGCACGTTAATTTAATAATGCAACAATAACGATATGCGGTGCGTTTCACTTTCTCTGCACTGCTTCCTGCCAGCTTGCTAGACGCTCGCGCCTGTCAACTGTATAATTAATTTTGAATTGATTTTCATCGCGCTCTGTTGTCGCCTAGTCCATCCGTCACTACCCGCACCCGCACCTGCACCCGCAACTACCCTTCCAGCTTGTTCTCATAACAGCGAGATCCGTTTTTCAAGCTCTCTTCCAAAGCTGTTGCTGTTATCTGGCACTCTGGCAACAGATTTCTCTGTTCAGTTTATCAACGTGCTGTTAATTAATTGTGTAGACGCTGACGCGCAAAATGTGAATGTTAATGTATTCTACGTGGGATTTTGCATACATACATACATGTATGTCGAAATGTAACGAATCGATTTAACGTAAAACGCAGCATTCCTGAGCCGCAACATTCTTGATGAGCTGCTTGGCATTTATTGAACTCTATAATCATATTGTGAAGGTTTCTCTGATGTTGCTCTCGTTATCACAGTGTGCGGCATTCCCTTTCCCTCCGTTCAGTTGGCAACGCCGAGTAACGGGATCTATGCTCCACTGAGAGTGAAAATCTCGTGCTCGTGGTTACTTTAGCAAAACATTTGACAATATGCTCATTACTCATTATCATATATAAATTCCATATTATATGAGCTCATGGTCCATTAGTTTACGAGAATTTAGTATTGTTTCTATAGCGAGCAAATTTTTGACTATATATATAATGTGAGTAAAGCAGATAAGATAGACCTTCCACTGATAACAACTTACATTTGTTTGAGTTTGTGTTTTGTTTCACAAAAACTTAAATTTAACCAGATAAACAAAGCGGTAAAACCCTTTAATTTGTTTGCTTTCAAAGCACAGACACAGACATTCATACGAGAAAACAATAATTGCGCCTAAACATTTTTAAGGTTTCGCCTTATTGTTGCGCGTGTTTGAAGTATTTTTAGTAGTTCCCCTAGTTGCTAGTGGATTGTGTTGTTGTTGTTGTGATTATCACAATTTGCAAATGACTAGGTGTGTGTGTTTGTGTTTGACGCTGACACGCAAGCATTTCTTTACCACACATTCTTGACCTTGAACCTACTCGAGCAATTAGCGTAGATTTAAGCTATTCATGAGTACGTTATATCTACACATGTGCATTAATTTAGATAGATGTGTTCCAGCATTTTATGTGCTATAAGATTCCGACCTTGTCCCGGTCTGGAAGAGTGAAAACCGGTTCTATAGTAAAATAAAATACACGTACACTTGTGTATATCTGTGTGCACTGGTATTAGTGAGCTTTTGCATGAAAAGCTCCTCGCCTAAAGGCTTCTTTGCCTGCACTGATTGCAGCTAATGCAGGCCTCCTCGTCTGTGTGCTGTGTACGTGAGCCTATGGAGAAAGAAACTCTTATGCTATATTTTTAATTTAATTTCAATTTGAACAAAAAAACGACCTCGTAGGTGTCATGTTTGCATATCTGTACATTAATCAGTTATTGTGCGTTTTTTTATATTTTTATTTTTGAAGCGTTGGCTTAAAATTCATGTCCTCTGATATAATCGTATGTCGGCAATTTTAATGGGGCGTTTCTACTTGATACTCTCTCAGATGCTCTCACACTCTCTGTAACCGCAACGATAATACGCTATATATATATACGATATGAGAAGATATGCGTGTACGACATGTTTAATTAATTTCCATTATCGCTGATGCAAATAAAGGCGCCGGGCGGCCAATGGGCCAATGACGTGGATCAGCAGCGTTTTTATCAGCAACCGCAGAATTCTTACAAATCATGGCATTATACATTCTTCTCTTCTTAGATTTTACACAGACACAGGCGCTGACAGGGCTAGAGAGGCAGCGAGATTGAGAATAGAGAATCGCTTTTGACCGTCCGCAACTCATCAACAAATCTCACATCAAACGTTTTTGTAAGTTAGAACAGCAGCAGCAGCAAAATCAGCAACAACAACAACACAAAAATGGCAACAACACCACGCAGCGGGGGGTCCGGCTCCGGAGCCGCACAACGTCCCAATGGAACCTCGCAGAATAAAAGCTGCCAATTCAAATTGGTGCTACTCGGTGAATCGGCAGTGGGCAAATCGTCATTGGTGCTGCGCTTTGTCAAGGGCCAGTTCCATGAATATCAAGAGAGCACGATAGGTGCGGCTTTTCTCACACAAACCATATGCATAGAGGATACTGTGGTGAAGTTTGAGATCTGGGATACAGCCGGCCAGGAGCGGTAAGTGCAAGATGAATGCAATCCATAAAGTTCAAGTTAATGTTAACATTAATGTTGCGACAAATGTTACAAATAATGTTAATGTTAATTGGAATGTTAATCCTAATGGTAATGTGACTTCCATAATTAATGTTATTGTTACTTTTTCAGGTATCACAGCTTAGCTCCTATGTATTATAGAGGTGCGCAGGCCGCCATCGTTGTCTATGACATACAGAATCAGGATAGTTTTCAGCGTGCAAAAACCTGGGTCAAGGAACTGCATAAACAAGTGAGTAAACAATCAATTAAGCCCAGAACTGAGTAGCTTGGGGATCACGGCGAACGTGCTGAATATGTTTTCATAAATCTAATTGAAATTGTTTGGTTTATCAATGTTATTTTATTGATGAACTGAAGCATTGCGTCGAGCATTGAACTCATTCAGAATTTCCGGCCTCATTACATTTGTTAAAGGCCTGTCCAGTCGAAGGTTTTTCGAAGACTAAAGTCCATATTATTAAAATTAATTAAAATATAATATTTATAAATGTTTTCTTTAATAAATTGAAATAAATATGGTTTTCAATTATATTTTGTAGGCCTCACCGAACATTGTCATTGCGTTGGCTGGCAACAAGGCGGATTTGTCGAACATTCGTGTTGTGGAGTTCGATGAGGCGAAGCAATATGCTGAGGAGAATGGCTTGTTGTTCATGGAAACCTCTGCGAAGACGGGCATGAATGTCAATGATATTTTCTTGGCAATTGGTAAGTGATGAACTTTGATGATAGTATACAATCAATATCAATGCTGATTGAATGACATTTTGAATTGCAGCCAAGAAATTACCGAAGAACGACAACAATCAAGGATCTGTTATAAAGCCAAATGGAAACGAACCAACTCAAACGACGAACAACTGCTGCAAGTGATGTCCCTTTGTAGGTGTGTGTGTGTGTGCGCCCCTCAGCGAAATTAATTGGATCGTATATAATTTCCTTTTAAATTGGTTGCTTTTTGTCATTGCAGAAAATAAAATTTCCAACGAGAGATTTGAAAAGTTTATGCTGATAATTATAAATAAAAAATTATTTAAAATTTAAAAAACCTAAAGCCGGCTCATAGGGGCAAACAATTTAATTTTCATAATTGATGATGATGATGATGATGATGAAAGAAAAAAAGAAACAAAAACAAAACAAACCATAAAGATAATATTAATTATAAATTAAATTAAATGGAAACAAAAACAACAAAACGTAAAAGCAAAAAGTTAGTTTAAATAAATACACATAGCCCCGTTAACACCAACCGAAAATGTATCAGAAACAAAAACAAAAACAAAAAAGCGCTCTTATAATATTTCTATCTCTGGTCCCATAGTTCATAGCCGCCACTTAGAGAGCTCCTTCGAATTCATCTCAACCAAATGCGAAACATTTCTAAACAAACGCATTTTAAATAAATTAAAAGTAAACATTAACGAAGCGGATTAACTAATTCAAGAGTACACGTCGTATCGTAGAAACGTTTCAAATTGAATTGTATAAACAAAAAAGAGAGTAACATAGGAAGCATGCTAAGAAAGTTTAAATCAAGTTTGAACATTTCATGTAAGTTTGGGGTATCGAAACCAGAGAAATTCCAGTTGCAGTCGTTTTCAGCAGCGTTCCAATAAAACTTAAATACAATAAAAAAATAAAATAAAATACAAAAAAAAACAAAACCGAAGATCAGTTCACTTTTGGTTCAGTTCGGATCAGATCAGTAGTTGAAGATTTGCTCGTCCTCGATCTGTGGCAATGTGTGTGCCTATCCGGCTGTCTCGGCTGCGATGGGCACGTGTGATAGTTGCAATTTATATAAATTATATATATATACACATATGAAAAAATGAAAATCCAAAAAAAAAAAAACACAAAAAAAAAATACGAATGAAAATAAGAAGAAATGAGAAAAAATGAAAGAAATTATTCATAGTTATAAATTTTTGGTTCCATATTTACGTTTAGCTGCTTTTTGTTTGTTTGTTAATTTTCACATTCTAGCAACAATCAAAGATTTAATGCTATCCCTAACTTTAAAACTAATTATCGTAAACACATAAGCTTACATCTTAAATAAAAACAAAAGCTGTTGTTTAAGCAGATAAAGTGAAGTTGTCAACGAGAGAAAAATCATTAATTAAATCTTGCAAAATACTTTACACCATAAGTTCACATTTGTTTACTTTTGTCCACAAATCGTATTTGCATATATTTTTTTTGATCAACTAAATATAAAACTCAACCAGCGAGATCAACCAAGCAAAAGCAACAAAACAACAAATGAATGAAAAAGAAAACAAAAAATGAATGAATCAGCGTGTGAAGAAGATGCGACGCCTAAAAAGCTGTGTGTATTTTTCCAATTTATAATTTTTATGTTGTATGTATGTATTTAAATAAAACATTTATAATAAAAATCGTATATATATACATATATAAAAATCGAAACAACATTCTATGCAATTAAGTTTCTAATTTCGATAAAACTTTTTTTAAAATTGATTCTATTAACCTTTGGATATATATAAAGAGTTCGTTCGAAGAGCACTTGAAACAATATTTATTTTTTTTAAAACAATATATCGTTTCTCATAAATCAAAACTGTTTTCGCGCTCTGTGCCCGTTCAAAGGAAAAGTCTAAAATTTACCTAAAATAGTTTTTCTTATTATAAATACAAAGCGAATCTTTGAGCTTGGATTAAAAATGACTTTGTCAATTGGCATTTCATTTTAGTTAAAATAAATCAGCTTTATTTTTTTTTTCATCTTACACGAAACAACTTGAGAACACACTCATTTGGAGCGCGATTAGGCATTCGTTCTGTGGAGCGTCGGAAACGTACTGATTCAGGATTTGTCATCCGGCAATTTCTTGGTGATATTTTTAGGCACAAAGAGCTTTCATGAGGATGAGCTTTCCTAGCTAATGCAGCCCGCGAGCTGCATTCAGTTGCTATTGGTTGGTCCGCAAATGAGCTCCACGAATGCCAAATGCTTCACAAATTGAGCCATAAAAGGGGCGATACGGCAGCTGGGCGCAGGGAGACCATGCCCTGGCTGATAAAGCGATACAAGCTAGTCATCTTGGGCGCTGCGACGGTGGGCAAGTCATCCCTGGTCTCCCACTATACCCAGGGCAGCTATCTGAGTGTTAAGGAGAACACGCTTGTCGCCGCATTTTCCAGCATATATCTGGACAAGTGCTTGAAATTTGACACCTGGGAAGTGGCTGGCGAGGAACGGTTGGTATACGCCTTTTCTTAAGTCAACTGATGGAAATGTTTAAAATAATTGAGTTACGGGCAGCTGGCATCGTTTGGCGCATTTGTACTATAAGGGTGCCCAGGCGGCGCTTGTGGTCTACGATGTGCAGGATCGGGCTAGTTTGGTCTGCGCCAAGGACTGGATCAACGAGGTACGCATAAAGGTTGGTACACTCACGAATCGTAGCCAAAACATTTTGAATATCAATATCGATATGTGCTTTAGCTAGCCCCGGATCTGGTTATTGCCATAGCCGCCAATAAGATGGATTTGTGGGACGATTTGTGCGTGAATTCTGATGAAATGAAAACCTTTGCTCAGAATAATGACTATATATTCATGGAAACATCGGCCAAAACGGGCCAAAATGTTAATGCAATTTTTGCCGCAATCGGTGAGAATATTTACAATTTTCCAAGTTACAAAATTTTCAAACTTTTTGAATTTTAGCTGAAAAACTTGAAGCTAGAAAAAATCCTGAGACGTTAAAAGTAAGTTCAGATGAAATTTGCGGATGTGGAATACTATAAGCCGGAATTCCAATTTTTAGTAAATAAGTTGTTCTATTGTGTATATATATAATTTCTTGATTCCAAGTCCTTGAGTTAACGTTTGGTTAACCTACCTATCTTGTCACATCGTTGTTCCAAGAATTCTTTGTTCTGTATTTTTCATAGTTTTTAAATATTTGTGAAACATTTACATTTTAGTTGACCAAAACTTGGCATTTACCAAATAATTTTTGATTTTTTTTGCAATAATTAGAGAATTAATGAATTAATTTTAAGGATTTTGGAGTTTTGATTGGTTTGGTGCGTTGATTTGATAAAAAATCATATATTCAAGATGCAAAATATACTTGTACTTTGTCGAACTCGAAATGTTTAATCCTGTCCCCTATATATGTCATTCTTTTCGTCAAACCTTACTCAATTGTGTCGATAACGAATTGAATCATGCAGAGTTTGCGTTGAACCATAACCATGGGCGTAGCCAGGATTTCGCAAATTGTTGGAGTTGTACATGGTAAAGCCCACTCGCTGCGCCCATGTCCAGAACTGAGTAAAGGCCACTCTAAAATGCATACCTCAGCTATTTTGGTTTTTCTTTTCATTGTGGGGGAAGCTGTTCGATCTGCTCCCCCTCGCCCTACGCCCATGGACTTCTGTGAGATTCATACCTCAGCTATATACGGGTCTGCTAGAATGTTTAGTTGAGTCCATAAGCGCGGCAAGTACAGACATGCAACGAATATTAACCTTCAGAGCGAAAGCCAAGTTTCAGGTTATAATGTTGGGCAATGCGGCCGTGGGAAAATCATCTCTACTCCTGCGCTTTATAACAGATAGCCCGCCGACAATATCGGAGCCGGTGGCAACCATTGGCGCGGAATTCAAGGTGATGAGAGTCTGCCTAGTTAATGGGGTCGTCAGGCTGAAAATCTGGGATACTTCCGGTCAGGAACGGTAAGGCTTTCAGACTTAAATAGAGCATTTGATTTCCAATTACAAGACAGATTTAAGAACCTGCTACGCACGTATTATGAGCGTTGTAATGGGGCTGTCATTGTATATGATATTCAGGATCGCGAGAGCTATGAACAGGCTCAGCAATGGGTGACAGAGCGCAGAGAGAAAGTATGTCCAGAAATAGCGAATTGCGATTGGATTTTTATAGAAATCTTACTAATATATTGCGCTATTTCACCGCACTTTTTAAGATTTCGAGAGAGCTGGTGATTGTTTTAGCTGGCAATAAGGCGGATATGGACCCAAGACGCGAGGTCACAAAGTTTGAGGCCGAAGAATATGCTACGCAACATAATTTGATATTCCTGGAAACGTCTTCGGTGAACGGCATGAATGTCAACAACTGTTGCACAGAAATGGGTAGGTTATCAAGTGTTTATTCAACGTTTATCTTACCAATTTCTAATGTCCATGCGCAGCTAAGGCACTGTATGCACAGCATATTCAGAGTCAACAAAAAAGCTCAAATTTAATGGAAATTGAACATGAAGAAATACAGCCAAGTTTTTTCAATTGCTTTAAATCGCATAGCAATGCTTCATAGTTGAATGAAACGGAAACATCGCGTTCGAAATTCGAATTTCGGGGTTCCCCCACAGTGTCAAATATCAACATGTTAAGTTGGCTGCGCCTGAGCCAGACAATTTTTTTGCTTTCAGAGAATCACAATTGGAGCATTTGGTTTTAATTAACTCATTCTATTTTTTATTTGGAAATTATAACGCGAAATAATTAGTACACACTAAATGTAGTTTTGGTTACATTTTTTGTTACTCTTGCATTTAATTGTATAATAAAGTATTGTATATATGTATATATATATATTTTTTTTTTTTATTTTGCTACTTGATTTCTGTTTATAAGAATAATATTTGTTGTATTGTATAATTTTTCATATTCGTGTATGAAGAGTCAAAGTTGTTGAGTAGGTTTTTGAAAAGCAACAAATTATAGCGAGAGTTATACACTAACTTACTACAAGGCAACTAAATGGCATCAATTTGAGTAGCATTCGGCTATTATAAAATAGGGAAATAACAGGAAAATAATAGCTAACCTAAGTAGAGTCGATAAATTAAAATGGCAGAAATTGTTATAAGGGCAGTTTAGAGTTAGAGTATGGAGACGATTTGATACAGAACACATAAGGTATAGAGATACATACATAACACTTGCATAACAAAGGTTGGCTCAACAAAACAATATACATATTGGTTAGAATGTTTTTAATAGAGGAGTGTGTGTTATTTTTGTCATATGCATTGAATGTTTATCATTAATCCACAATAAATATCACTTAAGTATGTAAGAGAAGTATGTGGAATTTTGCTAGATTTAGAACCTAAACTACAATTTTGTTCAAAGGGTTTATTTGTTTTTGTTTCGATTTATTGATAAACCACATTTATAAAATCATTGCATTGAATGATCTTCAGTTTTTTAATCTAAACTTGTTCTTGTCTCCTTTTTGTCAGTTATTTTTATAAAATTTACAAAATTATGTTCCATTTCGTTTCCTTCATGCAGCTATCCCCCATCTGTATACTTTAAAATTGATTAAGGAGGTTTTTGCAAATATAAACTCCCTTAACACTTAGCTTAGTTCTAACTTTTGGGGTTGGTTTCTTGTTTTCAGTTTTACTTGAAATTTCTTCCACAATCAATTAATTGTAATTCACAATAATAATATACGAATATTAGGTTACACAATTTGTTCTCTTAATATGTTTTTTTTTAGTTATTTATTCTTTTTGTATTTTTGATTCATCTGTCGATTTATAAAATAATCGGCTCATCACCGTGCAAATCACAAGAGCCAATATTTTCGCCTTGGTACGTTGAGAAATCGTTTATTACGGCTTTTGGTTCTGCTCCGAATTGAATATCCTGCAGGCAGCCTTTAAATGGCTCAAAGAAGCGACCTTGCGTCCGCATGCTCACCGAGTCCTGATTGGGAAAACCACCTGTAGATCACAAAAAGAATAATGTTAATTTTGTGTTCAAACAAGCCGGGCGATGCGCAGCGCTGCCAACTCTTTGCGAGTATTTAGCTCAGCTGTGCGTCAACAGAGCTCTGTTAGTGATCCAATACAATTTTAAACAGACAGTTACTGTCCATTAACATAATTATTTAAGCACAACTTAGCAGATAAACGGAGTACAAAAGCGATGTTTTTTCTTATCGATATATGTGTGCTTAACGATAACACATTGTTTTGAGCCATTGCACATCCCTATTAACTCAGGCTTAGTAATTGTTTAAAGCGCTTTCTACGCGGTGGTGTATTGTGTGTGTGTGTGTTTGGTAATGTACCACATCATGTTCTTGGTAGTGACATGAACTTATAAATTGTAAGCGCTTTTAGTGTTAACTCTAAAGTGTAAAGTTTTTGCAATGTGCACAATTGTATCGCAAACCAAAAGCTCGTAGTGTAAACTGGCGCTCACGTTCTCCCCCATGCAGTTACGAAAGTTCGCAGCCATCTTGCTCTAGCATACAGTCTTATTGTATCTGCCTTTCTATTGCACATCTGCACTGTCGTCACCGCAGGCCGGCGTTACAGTTCCATACGAGTAATCAACTAAGCTGAGGTTTGTTAAGGCGCGCGTTGCGAGTCAAGTAAGGGAATTCAAAGACAGACGAAAACGAAAAACTAGCAGCAACATGTATTAATTACCAAACGGTAAGTCTGCACACGCTTAATTTAATTGATGAGTCACACACATGCGATAAGTGCATTAAATGCAGAGCTTGTAGTCAAAGCATTGTAAAATATGTTAGCTCTGTGACGTCACAGCGTGGTTGTGTTTGCTTGGCGCCATTCTAAAGGGCACAGTGTGCTCACACTTACCTAAATAGAAAATATCCTCGTAGCTAATCGTTGGCTCCTTGCCCCCACGTCGCTGAAACGATGTCGTAGGGGTTGTTGTCATTCGTCGGCTGAGCTCGGGCAGTCGCTCTGTGAATATCACCGTGCCATCCAGCTGCAGCTCGAGGCGCGTGCGATCCAGGAGCACACTAATGCCGTGCCAGGCGCCATCGGCTACGAAGCCGCTGGCAGGTGCCTGAACGGTGTCATTGTTGCTGCCCAGCAGATTGTTGGCCAGCTTCAGATGCCCATTCTCCAGTCCCAGACCCAGGAATTTCACCGGATTGTGCTCGCTCCAGAGCAGTAGGCCGTCCGGTTCGATGGTGGAGAAGTTCAGTGAGATTTGTATGGCTTCGCGCGGACGCGCATAGAGCGAAGGGCCGCGGCGCTTGTCTTTCATGGGAATGCGAGGGGGCGGCAAGATCAGGTAGCTGTTGCCGCGGAAGCTTGGTGTTGTTGGCTTGCTCAACGCTGCAACAGAGACGGGGCAGAAGCGGGGCAAGTTAAGTAAAATGCATTAAACATATTGCATGTACAAGCTTTGCTGGTGTGCGTATATGCTTATGTATGTGTGTGTGTGTGTGTGTGTGTGTGTGTGATACAAGTGCATAATTAAATTACAGCATCGGCAACAGCGTGCGGCAATGCAATCAACTTCATTATTAACAGCAGACTGATGATCATCAATATACCCTAATAGAGAGTATTTTGGTTTTGGCACAAAGTTTGAAGCGCCATAAAGAAGTCCTTCAATATCCACTTAAGGTGGCTAAGCTAGAAATTTCAATTAAATCTTGAGAATATAATTTACTATAACTCCATTTATTTTTGACCCATATCCGGCATATCTATTCTTGAATGCTACCAAAAAAGCACTTAACCAACATTTTTGTCAACGTACCTAGCTCCGACTTCCGACTAGAGCATAGAGGCATGACAGGAATAGTCTAAGATTAGATTTTAAAAAGGTGTAGAGGACTTCGATAGGTGCAAGTACAAGTATTTTTCTCCTCATACTTTTCGTTTGCGTGCATTTGTGAACACTTTTAAAATTCTGCTCTCTGATTTTTACCGCTAAGTTGGTATTTTTCATAACGAAATACCAAAAATAAAATGTGTTGGAAATTACGAAATGAGTGCATTTTCCAACACTAATTTCACAAGTCTAGAGAGTAGAGAGGAGATTGAATCATTTAAATGCATTCTGTTGTTGCCAAGGCTTACTTAATGCAGCTTGCGGTCAACGGTGAATACCTCATGTATTTTGTGCCTGTACAGGGTATTTCAACTGTCAGCTGTGCTCTCTTTATGTTATTATCACCATCAGAGCTCCGCCTGCTCATTATGCCATTTGCTGTTGGCACGTCTGCGAGTCCCTGATCTCGTTTGGGGCTTCTTTGGTTGCTTCTCTCTAATCTGTCGACAACATCTTGTTTCTCTGTGTGCGTTCCACGTTTTCGGTTTGTATTCTTATTTGAGTCTGCGTTTTGTTTTCTTTCGTTTGGCTGCCACTCAACTTGATTGCACTTGTTGTTTCGTGTTTTCACCAGCTTGTTTATGGCTTATTGTTATTAGTGGCATGTTAATTCACTTTGCTAATAAGTGAAAGGCTGCCAGCCGGCTGATCGTATGCCCCAACTGTCAATTGTATAATACTGGCCTGGTCTCAAAACCAACAAAATCATAAAACGGTTTTATATCAACAACTTCTAAGCTGAACATGGGACTCAAAGTTGATCTTGTGCTTGCTCCGTTTCCAAGCAATCGATAAAAATCGATATCGATATCCTGTTTTTTGGGCAATTTTGGTAAATAATAAGAGCTAGAGTCACCAAACTTGACATATAGCTTCTAAAATAGAATATATATATGCATTTGATGTTCGAAGAAGAGGGTTCAGGGTATACCCTAGTCGGGAGCTCTCGACTAGAACCTCTCACTTGTTTGTGGTTGGAATTCCCAACAGCGATTTTGGAAGTTCCACCCGCAACTGTCAATTGAAAGCCTTGCTTTTACTATCGGGTCTTTGTTTAAATTTAATTTATATGCTTTTTGTAACATCCACTTATTTGGGATGGAAAAGGCGGGGCAAAGGTTAATTAAATGGAGGTTTATTTTCGGCTTCAAGATTTTGATACAACTTTTGGTTCCGTATTCGATAAAATTAAAGCATATTTTGACTTTGAAGTGGAGTTTAAGATAGTATGGACCGAATTAAATTTTCCACAAGCGGAAATTGAAAACTAAAAACTCCAAAATTAATATCTCAAATTTGTAGCACAAAAGATTATAATATGATATATGAGTAATAATTTTACGTTATAATATACGTTTATAATAAACTAATTAAAGATTATAACTTAGGCACGTTTTGGATCGTAAATATTTCATATGCTGTAATATAAATATCTGAAATAGATATTTGAAACATATTCAAAATATTTTCTCCTACTTCCAGTTTCTATGGGAATGCAGCGACCTGTAACATTGTGTAGAATTTCTAATATTTCTATTCTATTATTTTAGCACGTTCTACTTTGGTTCAAGCAAATTACACCTATATTTGTGTACTAGGTTAATTTTGGCGGTTTTTTGTTTGGTTTTAGCACTTTTTTTTTTGCCAGTTCAACTTCCAGAGCACCGAACCGTAAGATTCGTGGAGCTGCTAATGGCTTTGTTTCCCGCTCGTGTAGATCTCTAATTATATTAAAATATTGTTGTGTTGGATTTGGGGGGTTTTTTTTTTTGTCGTTTGCTTTTAGCATTCGAGATGAAAACTTGTTTGGGCGTTCAGCCGAGAACAACAGATAAAAGCAATTTCTGGCCAAAATAAAATCAGTTTTCTGACGCTTTAAGATCTTTACTCGGCTACTGTATTTCTACTATATAAAAAAACAAAAACAAAACAAACTCAACTTTTACTTCGCTGACACATTGAACTTCAACTTGGCTCTGGAGATTTATGGAACTCGTTTTGCAGATTTTCAAGTGAAATGATTTGTGCCTTTCATTGTTGCCCAGCTACTGTTGTTGCTTTTTATATATTGTTTTATTTGTATTGCTGTCACGCACATTAAGCACTAACTAAACATCTGGCGCTTGACTAATTTCGATGACGAACCCCCCCCTCCAGAAGCCACAAGCTGGCAATTATCAGAAACTGCTTTCGCAGCGCATCCGAAACTTTCAATTTGGAGGCCATTGAACTCAGGCGCAGATTCTACTCACCAATCTCACAGTAGAAGCCGCCCCAGCCGTTGGGACAGGAGCAGCGGCCACTGCGCAAGCAGCGTCCATTGTTCTTGCACGGGATCAGCTTGCAGGTCTCCGAGTATTCGCAGCGATCGCCCTTCGCATAATCCGGACAGATGCAGTGCGGCTGCAGCTTCTCATCCAGCCAGCAGTGTCCGCCCGATTCACACGAATCCCCACCGCAGGCGGTGCCGTCGCAGTCGCGAATGTTACGTGATTCTGGGCAAATGAATTAACAAACAAAAAAAATTGAATTTCTTATTATTTTCACACAAAATTGAAAATGTAGCCCGGGTTAAAATTCAATCGGATTCTCGTGATTCAACCTTAGCATCATTTAATTTGCCCATTCATATCAATTAATGTGCATTATGATTATCGTAAATCAATTTAAATATTAAAATTAAATCTTTTTTGTATGTTCCGGCATTTAAAGAATTTTATAATATTAACTCCCCTTTGCATACATTTTGCAATATTATCTTATTTTAAATGTTACGAGGTTTTGAGAATTTGTTAAAAGTAAAGTACATATTATGTTTTTCTGTCTGTTTCTTTGCTAACTGGTCGCTCAGTATTAAAGACAACTGAAGTTTTATATAGATTCGTCTTATTTTTGCAAGCAGATGTCGGCTCCGGCCGGTTTGGGCCACTTTATTGTACAGATCAGTCGATAATAGGGCTCTTCTATAACAAAATTGCTTGTTTCTAAAGATGTTCTAACCAAATCCGACATACACATGTCTTTTATAGCGCAGTATTGAGCAAAATCTCAAAAGGAAACATCGTTTAGTGATTTTTGTATGAAGGACTTTTCTGTTTCGCCAAGCCCAGTAATTCCTTAAATATGCCTTCAAATCGTAGGCCACATGTCTTAAGTCTTTACCCCGTCTTCTTCGAAAGAAATTTAAAATAATGTCATGCCCTACTTAAAACAAACTTATCTAATTCTCGACTTGCATAACTTTGTCAAGGCTGAGCCTTTTTTGTGCATAAGGTTTCATTAATTTTAAATTGGTTAAAAATATATGGATGAGCATATTCATGGCACATCAAATATTTGCTGTCATATTTGGTGCGTTTGTTGCTTACCCACAATATTCGTTTCGTTGAGAACAATGCGTGTGCCGCTCACGACAAGGCCACGGACACAGCCACGGAATGGTATGGGGAAGCCAGAGATGGCATTGTGCGGCAGCTTGGAGACATCTTTGAGGCCGCCAATGAAGAGCAGGGAATCGGGCTCGACGAGCACCTCGGCGGAGGGCGCCAAGGCTGACGAGGCGCTGCCCTCCACCCACAATGTCAGCCAGCGTCCGCGTTGCGCCATTTTGATCTTGTGCCACTCGCCAATGGCCAGCATGCGAACACTTCTGACGACGGTCACATGGTTGCTGGGTCCCGAGATGCGGAACTCGACGACACCGCCCTGCAGCGACAGCGATACGAATCCGATCTTCTTGTCCTGATTGTTGTTTAGCGTGCCGAAGTAGAGAAGCAGTCCACGCTCGGAGAGCGGACGCAGCTGGAATTCAATGAAGAAGAACTGGACACGATGATGC